TTAGAAAATGGTAATAAAATATGCCAAGAACTCAGAGTTAAACTGTGCTAGAACAAATTCATCTTGATAATGTCAGATAACACTTAAGGAAAACATGGTCAGGTCAAAGTGTCTGAATAATATTTGGTCCCAAATTTTTATCAATTTTACTGGTAGTCCACTGTATGAAGAATTTTTGGCTATAATATGTCACAATTCACTTTATTTTGCTATCCTCACTTACATAAATTAACTATAGTGTCCTGCATCCACTAGTAAAAAAATATAAAAAATTATATCTGGTGTCTGAATAATTTTTGGTTTTACTGTATATTAAAGCTGCAGTAGCCTACATAACTTTTGTCTCTCTATCGCCATGTCTGTTTAAACATAAAGATCGTTATGTTAATTGCGGAGTTATTTTTTACATGGGTTGTGCTTCGGCACTAGGCCTCTGTGCGAATGAATCTGTGATCACAACATCAGAGCGAATCTGTCATTGTACATTCACACACATATAGTATATCCCAAAAAATGTCATGTGAACAAGTAACATATCTGCCGCTTTTGTTCTGACCAACAATTTTTTTTTAAAATAAATCACATTACTGGTGTTTAGTTCTAACGATTGGTCAGATCAGATCATAGAGCAGAAGTGCTCTCTCACACACACTCATAGCTAGCAGAAAATAAGTGTAATTTACCTCACTGGCCATAGCAAAATGAGAAGAAGAAAAAAACAACCAACGAAGCTCAATACCCATCTGAATTAAACAAACAAGTGCGCTAATGATAGCTAGCTACCTATTGAGCCACTGAGATGTCTTCGCTGAAATAAAAGAAGCCATCTCTGCATCAGTCTTCAATTCCTCCAGCTCTCAGAGCTGTCCCCACCTTTTAAAAGCCATGTCAATATTTACTCTCATTTTAGCACAGGCTTCTCTCGCTTTCTCTTTTTTGACTGGCGACTCCACAGTTTGAGGTTTCTTAGTTTTCACAGCAGGTGCCCTAGATGTTAACGATGATTACCATTTAGAACTTTACAGATTAAAAGCAGCCATCGAGATGACGAGTTTAAATTCTCAGCAACTGTTGTAAGAACAAGCTATAAACCCCCTGCATAGTAACATTGTCTTCTTCTTTTATGTTTACAGATATGATGTAACCACGCAAAGACTAATGGCATTAAAAAGACGAATGACGTCAATTTCCCGTGAAATCATTCCCGACACCTCAAATTATAAATCATTATAAGCTTTCAATTGTGAATCGATAAGGTAAGGAGACAGTTTTGAATGCTGATGTCTAATGTACTTGCTCAATAACCATTTTTTTGGTCATTTTTAAAAGGTGAATCACTGGTCATTATTTTCACTCAAATAAAAGTCAATAAGGACAAGAACTGTCAAAAAAAACACAAACGTAATACAGTATAATATAAAAATAATACAGTATAATACTACCACTTGCCCACTGTATTCCAGGTTTTCTGATGCCATATGATCAGTTTGTGTGATGTACAGACCAAAATCGTCACTCTTTGCATCAGATCTTTTTAACAGCTGAATCAGTTTATCCGGTTCCCAAAACTGGCCTTAATGATTCACTCATGATTCAGATTCATTTGAACTGACTAACTGAAAGTTCTGGTCACAAATTTTAGTCTATTCCTCAAGAAAAAGCTATCAATTGACTTAAATAAAAGAAATATTGCAAGCGTTGCATGGACTGCTACAATTCATTGTAATTAGATGGAAAAAACAACCGGACATCTAATTTAAAAGAAAGTCATACAGATTTATAATGACATAAGGTAAGTAAATTATAATAACAGGTTCATTTTTGGGTAAACTATTTATTTTAGTTACCTCTAGGATGCATGACATCCTGTTATATTAAGATATGATATCTTAATAAATGGTAGCACTCCTTTTTTTTCCACCTCCCTGTATAATGTACTGTTTTGACATAGGACATGCAATTTTCTCACCTCACAAGCATTACGTTAAAGCAGGATGCCTTATGTTATGCGATGTCACTTTACATTACACTGCACATGACATTATTATCCGTTCAGCTTTCGAGCATGAGGTCACCTCTGAGAAGAGAAATGAAGACATGATAATGATAGCACTCATCTAGATGAGAATATTTAACCAGTGTTGCTGTCCTCCCTCTGACTTATTCAACGCACAAAAATCCATTGCAATGGAGCCCCACTGCGGATGACCTTCTGAATGAGAAGTGCTCCCATGCATTGACAATGAATATGCATTAGAAAGATTACAATGAGGTGACAAGGCAGGAGCTCTCATCCAAATACCAGCACAGCTGGCAGCCAGCTTTCCTGAGCTACTCCTCACCTCTTACATAAGAGCACAGCAAGCTGACAGCACCTCACCCTCCACTCATGCAAACCAAAAGATCTGTGTTGCTGTTCTCAGCTGTCTCGCCTTTGATTCGACAAGAGCAGCTGCACGTAGAACTTCCTTGAATTGCAAGAGGAAAAATTATTTCTTATATCGGTGCATAGGGGAATAATACTAGCTTCCGCAGGCAGGAGCACAATTGAGCAGACACAACTTTTTTTTCTAAAATTTTAGACATAAAAGGAAGATTTGAGATGGGTCTGTAATTAGCCAGTTCACTAGGATCTAGTTGTGGTTTCTTAATAAGAGGCTTAATGACCGCCAGCTTGAATGTTTTTGGGACGTGACCTAAAGACAACGACGAGTTAATAATATTGAGAAGCGGTTCTTCTGCTACAGGTTATTAGCTTATTATGATGATGTTAAACCAAAGTGTCAAAGTAACACATACCCCTATCTATCAGGAAAAGCTTCCACCATCTGTCAGACCCAGAAATCCCAGGTGGCTTCATATAGGGATTCAAACTTCCATTGGTTACTCTTCACTGTCAAATAAGCACCTGAGTGGAACATCCCAAGGATTACCAAGCACTAGACTGGACAGTGACATTTGTAGGCCCAAAGACTCATTTGCATCCATGAGTGATTATGGCTATTAGTAATGTTGACAACATATTATCATTGATTGTTTAAAAGCACTAGGTGAGGGGAGGCATGAGGATGCCGAAAAGTGTTGCAGGACTATTTTGAGCTTTCAAATAGTAAAACAAAACCTCTCTCAGAAGAGTGTGTTCTTTCTCATGATTCTACTGATAAAGAAATGTATTATTCATAATCCAAGTTCTTGTTTTCATTTCAATGAGCTCCTGCAGACATTTCTATTTGTCCTTGTTATGCATATACACAAACATGGTAGAAAGGAAAGCTAATCTTAATACATTTACATATCTTTTCTTGGCTGGTGCTCTTTTACGAAGTCAACTTGATATGGTGCGAGCTAAAAAAAAAAAGAAAAAGAAAAAAAGAAAAGAGAGTACATTCTAAATAAAGTCTGCCATTAAAGCTTTGTCATTTACGTCACTTTTGCATTCAATTATTTAATATTTATATGTAACATTCATCAACAAAACTGTCCATCCAAAAACGTGTTTATGTAAATGGACATGGTAAAATGTGGGCATCGGATATTTTTAAACACCTCCACTTGAAAAACAATGTGGGCATTCTGACTCATAAGCAATGCACCAGCTGTGCAAGAGACCTCTGAAACAGTGTGAGTTTGGCAGAGAATGGAGGACAGGCTTAGCTTGGTGAGCACCAGCAAGGATGGGTCCTATCTAAGTCCCTGCAGGACTGAGAACTCGCTGTGGGAGGGATGTCTCAACTCCATCTGGCCCAGCAACACGTGTGCCTTCATGCCGAACCGAACCAAGGTCTGCAAAATGTTGGCACAATGTGTGAGGCATTGCATAGCATTTGAAAGGAAAGATTCAGAGATGTGTCACCATATGTCTGTGGATATCTACATGTTCCTCACATATGGCAATGGCATGTAGGTCTGTGATTTTGACTCTTTTCTGTGATGCATGTGTAAATGTTAACATGGGAACAAGCCTTTAGTGAGTACCATAGACGTAGTTGCTGCCAAAAGTACGAATTCTCCAGACTGTTGTGTGATGAACACAATCTGCCATCTAGTGGACACATTTAAATCGCAATTGAGAAAGAGAAAGCTTAAAGAGATAAAATAATGTCTATATTTACAGCATGTTTTGGAAAGATTCAAGCTTAACATTTCATACCTGTGAATTTTGTGCACAGGAAATAGAAACAATTTTGTGTTTGTTTTTTCATTATACTTACTCAAGATTATTTTGGAGGAATTTAGAAATTAACAGAAAACTGTGTATGATCGACATTTGTGTCTTTGATGTGTTTTGTTTATTTTCGGAATTTTAGACGGTAAATAACAATACATTATGCATTTATTAATTTTGTTAGAAAAATACCACATACATAAAAAGAAGTCTTTGCTAACCAAATTTCGTACGTTATACAGATTTATGCTGAAAACATGTAGCCTAATGTTTTAAAAGCACCGAAATGTAACTTTTTGGCAGCTAATAATAATGTTATGTACTTATGTAACTATTAGGTTAGGTTAGGCTATACCTTCTTATGGCATTGAATAAAAAAAATTATATGAATATATATATATATATACATTTTATGGTTGTAGTTTGTAGCCTAAGCCTAATTATCAGTCTTTAGTTTTATTTAGCATGTGCATACAGAATAATATATCATTACTACTGTGTTGATTGATACTGCATTTGGGCAAAATATTTTGTCTTATTTGTTATTATATTGACTTATTTTATTATTATTTGAGGCCTCTGAAAAATAAATGGCTCATAATGAAATGCTCATTGAGTAGGGTCTGTTTTCGTCATCTGTTTGAACGGTCACGCGTAGTTCAGACAAACTGAATCCTTTAAGAAATGAATCTAATAAGACTTCGTTGCACGTATGTAATGATAACGAAGCTAGTACTAGTGGCTGAGGTTCAGAAACCTAGCGAGCCGCCTGTCTAGACAGCATCACTCGGCGTCTGGATTCCGCCTATCATGTGCGAAACTTACTTGGGTAGGGAACCAATTAGATTATGAGACGCAACCCGTGTGTCTTTCGATGTAGCAAACGCGTCAAAAGGATTCCTGCTCTTTCACACTCTGTAAAGTGTTGTTTTGCCATACTTTTAGGTTCAAGCGCTAGTGTTGGTGTTATACTCATAAGGAGTTCTACCTTTCTCTGACGGATTTGTGGAGGGGGCGCCTAAGAGGACGAACATGTCGGGAAAGAATTTTCGCGTTAGCGACGGAGACTGGATTTGTCCCGATAAAAAGTAAGACTTGCTGTATAATGTTCTATTTAAAAGCCCAATAGTGCATATAAGAATATATTTGCATTACTTAGAAGTTAAACCTTCTGGGAAAATTAATGTTGGCTGATAGAAGATTACACGCTACTGTTAGCATAGCATTTGTTAGCATTAGCACACGACTATAGTGTGTGAATGGGCCTGTAAAACGCGTTTTTTTCCATTTTCCTTAACAAAATTAAATGGTATGTTCATTTATGTCCACTGAAACACTGGTAATCACATTTTTTTTAATTACATTCTCATAATTGTTAGGTTAAGCGATTATCTGGCAGCAGTTATGTGCACGAATCTGCTAACTGCAGACTGCTAACTAACTTCATTAGTAACTTAGTTGCTATGCCTTGGGCAGTGTGAAATGTTTTTAATTTATTTTTTTTAAATGTATTATAAATCTATTTCAGTGTGTGCATGTGAAAATGTCAGGCCTGTTCTTTGTGTGCATTAATGTTGAATGATGCTTATAATATCTAGAGACCTAACCAGTTTTGTGTTTATAATATTTTAGGTGTGGTAATGTCAACTTTGCTAGAAGAACTAGTTGTAACAGATGTGGCAGGGGTAAGTGCATTATATTTTATATATATATATATATTTGTTTGTATAATCATTATGTTTTGAATATTACATATAAGAATATATTTGCATTACTTAGAAGTTAAACCTTCTGGGAAAATTAATGTTGGCTGATAGAAGATTACACGCTACTGTTAGCATAGCATTTGTTAGCATTAGCACACGACTATAGTGTGTGAATGGGCCTGTAAAACGCGTTTTTTTCCATTTTCCTTAACAAAATTAAATGGTATGTTCATTTATGTCCACTGAAACACTGGTAATCACATTTTTTTTAATTACATTCTCATAATTGTTAGGTTAAGCGATTATCTGGCAGCAGTTATGTGCACGAATCTGCTAACTGCAGACTGCTAACTAACTTCATTAGTAACTTAGTTGCTATGCCTTGGGCAGTGTGAAATGTTTTTAATTTATTTTTTTTAAATGTATTATAAATCAATTTCAGTGTGTGCATGTGAAAATGTCAGGCCTGTTCTTTGTGTGCATTAATGTTGAATGATGCTTATAATATCTAGAGACCTAACCAGTTTTGTGTTTATAATATTTTAGGTGTGGTAATGTCAACTTTGCTAGAAGAACTAGTTGTAACAGATGTGGCAGGGGTAAGTGCATTATATTATTTATATATATATATTTGTTTGTATAATCATTATGTTTTGAATATTAGGGGTGTGTCACAAAAGGTGCATCAATACATGCACCATGCTTACAGTACTTTATCATGATTAGTCTAAACTAATTAACCAATTTTCCTTAAACAGATAAAACAACTGAAGCAAAGATGATGAAAGCAGGGGGAACAGAGATTGGAAAGACCCTGGCTGAGAAGAGCAGAGGTCTCTTCAGTGCCAATGATTGGCAGTGCAAAACGTGGGTATTGCTATAAAATGTCTTAACTACACTTTCACTGTCCATTATGAACACATTCATAATTATTAATATCTCAAGTATCTGTTGAGTTCAGTGTGAGGAAGTGAAATGTTTCAGCCATTCTTACCCTTCTACATTGACAACATTTCTTTTAAATTTGTTTCAGTGACGTTAAAGAAACAAAAACTTTTTTTTTTCATATTTCTTTGAGGCTGATCACCCCATTTCTTGTTTAGTTCTGAAAGAACATCCAAACTAAAGGCCGATTTTTGTTTGCTGCTCAATAGTTCAGACCTTTGTAATATACCAATGTTATTAATATCTGAACTTGTTCTTGCTTTAAATCTAGATGTGGCAATGTAAACTGGGCCAGAAGATCAGAGTGCAACATGTGTAACACTCCTAAATATGCCAAACTGGAGGAAAGGACAGGTATGTATGTATTACACCCCCTTAAATTTTTCACTCTTTGTTATATTGCAGCCATTTGCTAAAATCATTTAAGTTAATTTTTTTTCCTCAATGTACACACAGCACCCCATATTGACAGAAAAACACAGACCGTACCCACTGTATATATATATATATATGTGTGTATATGTGTATATATTTATAAAATATATATATATTTTTTTATTGCATATTGACTGCAAAGTTATGAATTTTTAGTTAATGCCATATTATGGATGAATGTCTCTAACAGGATATGGTGGAGGGTTCAATGAGAGAGAGAATTTAGTCTACAATGAGCGAGAGGAGTCTGATGGCGAGTACGATGAAGTCAGTGGGGATTTTATTTTTCAGTGCACACAAATGACAGTTCTTGATATTAAGAACTTTTCACAATACATACTAACAGATAAACTTGAATTTTAACAATTATTTTGTTTGTCTTATGGACAGTTTGGGCGCATAAAAAAGAAGTATCGTGGAAAAAGCAAGAAGGACACTGAAAAAAAAGAGGAACCAAAAAAAAATAAAAATAATGATGATGATGAGGACGATGACGATGATGATGATGGAGATCTTTCAAAATACAAACTTGATGTAAGAGATTATATTCTCTAGTTTTGTGTTAGTGGTCCTACAATTTGTTGCCATTTGAAATGAATTTTATTAGCTGAAGTAACAATGCTGTCGATTGTAAATTGATTGCAACAGTCAGTCATAAAGATCGGATATGAAAAATGAATTATAATAGGGTGCAGTGTGAACAAATCCTTCGAGCTTCTGCAGATAATTGAACTTATCACAGTTTTTGGTGTCTTTTTGTTCTTTGTGCTATTAGGATGATGATGAGGATGATGCAGATTTGTCCAAGTACGATTTGGATGCTAGTGAGGAGAAGAAAGGGAGTCGCTCCGGCTCCTCACGGTCATCATCTCGCTCGTCCAGTTCAAGTTCCCGGTCTAGGTCCAGGTAAAAGGGTACAGGTCAAGGGTAACTCCAGGCAAATGTCAGTATCAGCTCAAATCGTTTTAATGTTGAATTTTTTTTATCTTTACCTCTTTGCCTCCTTTAGTGTTTTTAAAAATATTTTCTCTTTCCAATTGCCTTTTGATTGACAGTATAAAACTTGGATGTTCTTTAATGAAAGTGATCATGTCAATTCATTGTTGTTCAATTCATAAGTAATTCATGCCATCAACACAACTTGATAGTATTTTAAAAGGCCTAAGCTGATCTTTTTAACACTTATCGTTTGATAATAAATTTTCTTGGGTTTTCATCAGCGGGTCTTTAACTTTATTGGAAAAAATTTGTGGTGTTTGTTTGTTTTTTGTCTTTTTGTTTTTTTTGTTTGTTTGTTTTTTTTTGGGATGTCGGTGTTTAGCAGATCCCGGTCCAGGAGCTCATCCAGTTCCAGATCTCGCTCTCGCTCCAGGTCCAACTCCAGGTGAATGAGGTGACATGCACTCTCCAGGAAAGAGTGTGTATGAACAGCCAGTGCTTGTAATGAACTCTTTGTCCTAAGTCTTGGAACAGAAGTCGATTTTGATCACCGTAAAACAAATGATTAATAAAATGAGGGTGACGTGGGGAGCAGTGAGATGTAGCTTTGTCTCTTTTGGAATGTTTGAACAGGATTTTTTTTACTTTTTGTTCTCAGCATAGATGTCAAGAGCTTTCTTGTGCTTTTAGAAAATTTGTTCAAATCAAATTTGGAACATGTGAAATAATCACACCCACCCACCACCCCCTTCTAACATACAAAATATGAAAATGTTTACTGTTCATTATAATTACATGTGTAACAAACATGAATAAACAGCTGTTAATCTGAAACATTTGTTGCACTGTATTTGTCTTTCCAAGTTGCTGCATTGCGTGAGGCCTTGTTTTGAGATTTCTCCCCCCAAATGTGCTCCTTAATTATCTCTGCGTTTTTAAAGACTTTTTTTTTTTTATACTGGATTACTGCAAGCAAACCCGGTGAAGGCTGATGTTAGATCCCGCACTGCTGCTTGTGGGGAAATCTAGTGATGTTTGTAAAATTATACATTAATCTGAAGCATTTGTTCAGTTTGTTTCTTTCCATGTCTATTTTATGGAGTAACATTTTATGAGTCGTGTATGAATTTACTAATGATTGCTGATTAGCAAAAATTCACCTTTACTGCAGACACTGATAAGGTTTGAAATGATCGTTTCTCGTGCGCTAGGTGGCACTTGTTGCGTTCCAAACCATCTGTGAGCTGGTGTGGAGGATTATCATTGAATAAAACTTGAACCGTTATTATTTATCCCTTTGGAAATTTGCCGATCACAAAAATAATTAGTGTTCTGCTTTAACGTTTAGCGATCATTTAGTTAATCCTATCTGTAAAAAATAAACCCTACACCCGCTGAAAGTTATCGTAGGCTGAATTTCACGCTCTCGCTACAACGCTTGTTATAACTATATTTGGTCACAAGTGCTTCTTTTTTTTTTTTTATTCCTATAGTCATACAGGAATTAATTTGTTGCCACAGCTTGGGGATGATGAAGGTATACTATTTTGTGAGATAACGCATGCACAGCAAAACCGGGAACATGAACTCTAACAACATTTTCCCTTTGTGTTGAAGTGAAGATATTTGTCTATTTTATGGAGTAACATTTTATGAGTCGTGTATGAATTTACTAATGATTGCTGATTAGCAAAAATTCACCTTTACTGCAGACACTGATAAGGTTTGAAATGATCGTTTCTCGTGCGCTAGGTGGCACTTGTTGCGTTCCAAACCATCTGAGCTGGTGTGGAGGATTATCATTTAATAAAACTTGAACCGTTATTATTTATCCCTTCTTTGGAAATTTGCCGATCACAAAAATAATTAGTGTTCTGCTTTAACGTTTAGCGATCATTTAGTTAATCCTATCTGTAAAAAATAAACCCTACACCCGCTGAAAGTTATCGTAGGCTGAATAGGCTGTAACGCTTGTTATAACTATATTTGGTCACAAGTGCATCTTTTTTTTTTTTTTTTTAATTCCTAGTCATACAGGAATTAATTTGTTGCCACAGCTTGGGGATGATGAAGGTATACTATTTTGTGAGATAACGCATGCACAGCAAAACCGGGAACATGAACTCTAACAACATTTTCCCTTTGTGTTGAAGTAAAGATATTCTTTGTGCATCTTGCACTATTTTTCTGTTGTCTTTCTGAGCATGTTTTACATTTCCATAAGGGTCCCGCCTCTGTGTTTATAGCGCGCTCTCGGACAGCCGAGCGCACAAAGTGAAGCAGACTTCGCTGAGGACCACCTGTTTCAAATGGCTACTGTGGCCATGAACACCCTCCCTGAAAAAGGATGCCATCTAAATGTCAGTCTTCAGATGTCCTGCCACAAAACCTGACTGCTGGAACCATGATGTGGGACTCGAACCTCTCCAAATCCTCACAGGACAGCACGGGCAAGAGCGCCAGCTGTGGCACTGTGTCCGTGTTTTTCCCCATCACTATGATGGTCACTGGAATGGTCGGAAACTCTCTCGCGATGCTGCTAGTTTATATCGCATACAGAAAAAAGGAAAATAAAAGGAAGAAATCGTTTCTCCTTTGCATCGGCTCGTTGGCGTTAACTGATCTTTTCGGCCAACTGCTCACAAGCCCGATTGTCATTTCGGTGTACAGAGCAGATCTGAAATGGAAACGCGTGGACCCTTCGGGAACTCTGTGCGCTTTCTTTGGGGTGTGCATGACCACTTTTGGCTTGTGTCCTCTCTTTTTAGCCAGTGCCATGGCCATTGAGAGGACTTTGGCCATCACTGCTCCTCACTGGTACTCACACTACATGAAAACCAACGTGACCAAGCAGGTTCTGGTCTTCATCTGGTGCCTGGTTTTGCTGTTTGCCTTATTGCCCATCGCTGGGGTTGGAAAGTACACTTTGCAGTGGCCAGGGACTTGGTGCTTCATAAGTACAGGTGACAAGAACGTAACGGGAAATACGTTTTTTGCCACGACCTTTGCAGCATTAGGGATATTTTCTTTGCTGGTCACGTTGTCGTGTAACGTTGTGACCATCCGTGCTTTGGTTATACGTTGCAAAACGAAGGCAACCTCAACCCAGTCATCCAAGCAATGGGAGAGGTTAACAACAGAGACTGTTATTCAGTTGATGGGCATTATGTGTGTGCTGTTGACATGCTGGTCACCTCTACTGGTATGTATCATATCAGCTTTTGCCAGATACACTTACTGCACTCTAAAAAATGCTGGGTTGTTTCAACCCAATTTTGGGTCAAATATGGACTAACCCAAATGTTGGGTTAAAAAGTTAATTTAAAAATGTAACCAAAATTTAACCCAACAGTTGGGTTAGTCCATATTTGACCCAAAATTGGGTTGAAACAACCCAGCATTTTTTAGAGTGTGTAGTTATCAGATGAAAGCATGCACGGTGTCATTCCTGCTCAAACTTAAGTGTGCTCAGCTACAAAAGCCTGTCTATCTAAATTGGATTAAACAGAATAAATGAATTCTTATGTAAGGGTGAACTCAACAGGCCGGCTGTTTGACTAGCAATGTTGGAGGGCCACTACTTGTATTTTCAGTATGTTTTTGAGCAGTTATTTGAGATTAGTTACTGTTTACCCTGGGATTTTTGCCTAGGCTCTATCCAAAAATGACTCTTTTGTCAATCTAGAAAGTTGGTGGCATGATTTGACATTTTCCAAAAATGTAATTTCTTCCCAGTCATGTCATTTCACAACTAGGCCCACATGATTGTGCAAATTCATACGTTCTGACTGTGGGAGGAAAAAAGCAAACTGAGTTTTGTAGAATGGGTTGAAACTGTTTATGATGTTATGGCCGATAACAATAAATGGCAGATGTTTAAATTCTATACAATTTTGCTTAAATAAATTAGAAAAAAATAACACCCCAAAAAATGAGTAATCTGTCATTTTAAGCGTTAACGTTATCATGTAGAGTGTGAAACAATGGAAATTCATTTTGAGATCTGCTAAAGATAAAATGTAACCGTTATTAAATTGCATGTTTTTAAATATTAGGTGTTTTTGATGATAACAAAGGTGATCTAAATGTAAGAATAGGGGAAATACATTACTGCACAATTAAATGTCTAATTTTAGTCAAAATATATCCAAAATAAACTGATATGATTTTAAAAATATTTTTTAATATAGTGATATTTATAACATAGCATTGCCTGGAACTTAGAGTACGGAACGTTTAGTAGCTAAAAAGTGATATTAGATGGAATATTTTTTTTTTAAACCTGAAGGGGTGTAAATTTAGCAAATAACTGCCATTTAGAATCCTACGGAAATCTGTTAAGCAGTCTTATAAGTCTATAAGCACATGCATATTTTTTCTTAAGTTTAAAGAAAAAAATATTCATATAATATAGCCATTGTCTCCTCCCATTCTGCAGATCCTTATGTTGAAGATGATCTCTACCCACACATCCTCGCATCAATGCAATTCTGCTGCTGTATCTCTCTCACCCCAGGACTTACAAATGGACTGTAACTTCTTTCTCACTGCCATACGTCTGGCCTCGCTCAATCAGATTCTAGATCCATGGGTTTACCTGCTTCTGAGAGAGATTCTCCTGAGGAAGTTCTGCCAGGTGGCCAGCGCAGTATCCAAGTGCTCACTGAACGGACAGAAGGAAACGCAATGTCCTCTAGACGTTCTAGATAAAAAGGCCATTCAGAATGATAATGTTCACAAACAGTCCACGAACATGGAGAACAGTAACTTGAATGGGGGAAATGAGGAACAGTGACTTGATAGTGGTTTAAAAACTGAATAATTTTCCAATGACCCACTATTAGAATAATACTGATCTGGACAGTTTCCAGATGTATTTGTGGATTATTGTATTGATATAGTGTGATGTCAGCATGCTACCACTCGTGTCGCTGTCACAGTCAACACATTGAAAGAGATTTTATTCATGGATACTCAGCAACCTTTGAAATGAAACAAAATGCCAAGACCTTAAAATAATTACATATGCAAGGTTCCCCACTGTCATGGAATCATTTGAAAGTATCATACATGTTGCAAATGGAAATTAATTGTTGAAAATGTATGGGAATCCTGCATATACAACAGCAATATTAGCAAATTAGATTTGAATAAAACAAAAGCAAAATCATAAACTGATGTTTTCCAGCTCCCATGGAGACTGATTATTTTAAACTATATAGCAAAATCCTTTTATTCACCTGCCAACTGCAAGAAGAATTTGAAGGAATATTTCTTAGACTAATTTATGGTCTGTTACATTTCAGAGCTGTTTATTGTGCAGTAAAGCACTGAATTGTCTCGAATACTTTTCTCTAAACTCCTCATCCTCATGGCTCAATTTAAAACCTCTCATAAACGCTAAACTTCTGTAGACTTATTGTGTGCATTTCTCAATATCAAGTCTGTAGAGCTCATTTTGATGCTGATAACCGTAACCGTGGGCACATTTAATTGAATTCCATGCTTGAGTTTTTCAGTTGGATTCTTGAGTAAATGTAAAAGCGCAAACTAATTCAATAGTTTGGTGAGATACTTTCTGACCTTGGAAAAGTCCACTCAGTGTTCATTTTAATAGCCAAATTTTGACACACCGAGTGCCTCAAGGTGCTGTATCTTTTTATGTGCAATATTTTTGATCATATCAATTGCCATCATAACCCAAAAGACTTTAAAATTCAAATGGAAGGCAATTTCAACAGATGATGATTAGTCATTCATGGAAATTGCTTTTTATACCAGTTGTTGTCAGGAGGCCATTAAAGCTTTGTTCTGTTTTTATCTTGCATCCATTTAGTGGTAAATTATGTAACATTTGAGGTAGTTTGGCTTGAGAAATATTTAATGAGTGGTATGACTGGTGCAAGCTGTTTTATATTATTCTTGGTTGAGAAGGCATGCAGTAATTTTTGTTTGTTGAAATTGAATTGAACATACATAAATTATTGGCAAGGATGAATGAAATAGTTCTTCTAATTGGGCCCTTGAGTTGTACATCTGTAAAATTATGCATCTACCGTGTGTGACTGAACATCATCTTAGTATATTATATGTTTGCACGGTGCAGTTGAGAAGACCCATGGATCATCAATTATGATAAACAGCAGGTTATATTGATAGAACTCTGCAAATACATTTGTAATTTATTATACAATATTAGAAAGAAAAGGTGAATTGTTTTTAAAGAATAATTACGATCTATAATTTGTTAAACGAAAGGATTGTCAAAATAGTGTTCTATAAAGCACTGTCATTATGTTTCAAACCAGCATAAATCCCCATGACACTGGAAATGTTTGCGCCAATGATTTTACACCCTGCCGATTAAAAGAAAATGAGCAAGGAAGATGCAAAAGCAGTGTCTGGGCGAAAAGGAAGAGGCAATGTAATGTATGTTCCTAGAGGTCAGAGCTCTATGAAATCGGTCAAAGTGAAAAGGTGCCATTACCAGTAAATACATTTGGAAGATTGCATAAGGGAGTAAGAAACTGCTAGTTTTCTGTTTCCACCAAAGAGAGGGTTTGCAAATCCAAATAATAACCTCAGAGAAAAATCAGAGAAAACTGATTTCTGATCGCTCGTGGTATTTGCAAAAGTGCATAGTTGTCAGTGGGAACCGAAATACTTTTATAAATGGATTTAACATTTGACATATGCTCTCAGGCAGTGATTACAAAGTAAAATGAATGATTCTGACATGGGACTTTATTAATAGTGAAATGAACGTGGCTCAGGCTGCACCGTCAGATGCCTAGTCGTGCTCAACTTGCTGTTGTCTGCTTGGGTAGCTGCTGAATAGGGCAATGGAAAATAGGATGATTGCATAATATTTAATTGTCAAATTAAAAGTTCCAGTGTATCCATGAGTACAAAGGCAGATCTCCTGTCAGCTCACCGGTGCATTGAGCTGATAATGAACATCTGATTTATGGCCATTCAGTGCTTTCAGTGTATTAATTGTGTGACTGATTCTTATTTACTCCACAGTGGTTCAGAGTCTACACTAAAGCTGTTCAGAGCATTGTATTAAAGGGTTAGTTCACCCAAAAATGAAAATTGGCTTGTGTTTTACTCAGCCTCAAAGCATCCTAGGTGTATATGACTTTCTTCTTTCAGACGAATCCAGTCGGTGTTATATTAAAAAAGTGTCCTGGCTATTCCAAGCTCTATCATTGCAGTCAGCGGGTGTTGCAGTTGAACAGTCCACAAGTCGTCAAATAAAGCTCGTGCATTCATAATAAAACATGCTTCACACATAGTGAATCCACGTGTTTTTGTAAGAAAAAATATCCATATTTCAAACGTAATAAACAGTTTTCTCTCACTTCCGTTATCTGTCATACGCGGAAGGCATGCCGGTGGAAGGCGTATGACGTATGCGCATCGCGTGCGCCGCTGAGATATGCTAGTCTCACGAGTTTGTTTATAGGAGCAAAGGAAGCAAAGTTTCTTTACTTTAGCAAAGGAAAACCAGTCTCCTCTTGGCTTATATCGAAATCCTCCGACATTTTTCTTTGCAAATCTTCGGTTTGTACTTCTAATTCATGACCGGCGTTTTGTTTTGTTGTCTCTCCGTGTTCGTAACTTATCACGCAACACCGACGTGCTACGACATCCGCCGGAACGGCTTACGCATATGACAGTTGGCGGAAGTGATATAAAAGTGTTTTTTACATTTAAAATATGGATATTTTTTCTTTCAAAAACACATGGATTCACTACAGAAGGCCTTTATTCCCCCCCCGGAGCTGTGTGAAGCACGTTTTATTATGAATGCGCGCTTCATTTGACGACTTGTGGACTGTTCAACTGCAACACCCTCTGACTGCAATGATAGAGCTTGAAATAGCCAGGACAATTTTTTATATAACTCCGACTGAATTCGTCTGAAAAAAGAAAGTCATATACACCTAGGATGCTTCGAGGGTGAGTAAAACACAAGCTAATTTTCATTTTTGGGTGAACTAACCCTTTAATATTGCCAAAGGCTTCTCATCTGAGTTTCTTTCATATAGAAAGATTTATTCATTGTATTATTCTCTCATCATTTACTTGCCCTTACAAAACCATTTTGCTTTATTTTTGAAGGAGAGCTTTCAAGGTTCAAGTAAAAGCACCATAAACGTAAAAAAAAACATCTGTTCATCACACAAAGCTAATGTATGGCTTCAGAGGAAATATAATTAATGAAAACATTGTATGGATTACTTGCATGTTGCTTTTCAGTTTCTTTTGAAGCTCCAGTCACTCTTCTTAGTAATTTTTTAATGGAACAAAACATCCATTCATACATTTTCCAAACTTCTGCTGCTGTGTAAAAAATGTATCCATAAATGTACAACAGGAAAAAGAAACTCGTATGAGGTTGGAATTGATTCTTTCATGTTAATGCAAAGACTTGCGTACATTTGTTTTTGTGTAATTAAGTGTCGGTACTTCTTTTGGTCATTCTAAGTGGAACTACAGAACACCACTGATTTATCTGTAATCATAATAATATATGTACAGGCAATAAGAGCTGCCAGGTGTTTGGATGTGAAGCCACCAGCAAATCATTTTAGATCATAACCCACCTGTGAATGTCCTAATGCCAGATGCCAAATCACGGATGCTATGAAGTGTGGCAAGTCTGCATCAAAAACAACAGGGTTTCATGAATGTATTTCAAGTTTTACATTTATTTATGATGCAAGACCACGTGTACAGCTCTGAGACTCCGTTCACAGCCAGAGCTGTCATTAAGCTTGTATCAACAGATGGTCGTGGCACTGCTTGTGTGTTTTTGATAAGAAATGTTTGCATATGCTTGCAACTGTTTGACGTGTCTACTAACTGCTCTGATGTGCTTTCCTTGTAATGGTGCTCATTATTCAATCATTATTTGATTCTGTGCTGCTTGTGTTTTCCACTCACCGGGCTGGACTATCTTTCATGCAATTATCATAATTTAATCTGGTAGGGGGTTGGGTTATACCAAAGTGCTTCTGTAATAGTAAGCGCCCCCATCCACATTTTGTACAAGTGGTTTGAAATGGCTGCCACATTTTCCATCAGTTGTGTTACAGAGGAATTATCTCCAATTACTGTTTTGTTCATGAAGTTGTTCAAATCATTGTGTTCTCATTATACAACTAATATCCGTCACTGATTGTTAATGGTTACATTAATAATTATAGTTCTTATTTGGCTAAAAGGAAGATGGCTCTGTCATTTCCAGTCCATCTATATATTATTGTGCCTATGTAAAAAATTGAGAGATAAAATATATTATCAGAGTTGATTTTCATGTCTAAGGGACCATTCACAGGGCACGTGTTTTTGTGTTAAAAACACAAGAAGCCCCACAATAGTGTCTAACTGAATGGAAAAGAAGGCAGAGTTTTTAGATTGATGTTTTTAACTTGAACTTGTTAAAAACGCAGCACTCATGCATGAGACGCCTTAAAAGCAGTCAAAAAATGGCTCTTATTCCCCTTAAACTGTTGTATGACAGTTAATTTAAAAGGACCATTGTCATCATTTACTCGCCCTCATGTCTTTCTTGAAATCCTGCAAGATAATTCCTTTGCTGTTTCACGCAAGAAAGAAAGTCATGTGGGATTCAAAAGACACGAGGGAGTGTAAATAATGACAGAAGTTTCAGTTTTGGGTGAACTATTGTTTTAAATTAGCATTCCATATAAAACAAGCACTCTTTTATAAAGAATTACATGAAAATTGTATTTAGATTCAAATCTTTTGCTTGAAGTGTTCCTTGAAACTGGGTTGAAGTCTATTGGTGGGGCTTTCAAGGGGTCAAACAAACAAATCAGACAAGACTTGTTGACCATGTCATGACCACTATTTATTGTATGTAACAACATATTGCATGTGCTAACAATTTTTAGTTTTGTGACTCAAAAGTTCACACATCTCTGCAGGCACAGATCTTTATGTACT